TCCTGCCTTCCAGAAAACATAGCCTAGCAAAGGAAAAAGATGAGCACACAAATAAAAATGTACTGTGGGTACTAACGCAGCTGCCATGCCAGTAAGGGGAAAAGCCACAGCTGGAACTGTCATGTGGGGCCGTTATCTTCACTGCTTTCTAGTTGTTTCAGTTTAATTTCCTCCTCTGTCCTGGATTTCTATGAGAGTGTTTTTTAATTACCAAGTTGAAATATTTTGGTCTACTATTAATTTCTATTTTTGTTAGATTTTGCAGAATAATATGGCCTTAAAAAATCTTTTTCTCAATAAAGAATGATTTTATGATCAAGTGTATGATCAATTTTTGTAAGTGTTCCAAGGACAAATTAATAGCTAAGAGTTTGGATGGCTGTTCTAGGCTCTGAGTTTTTACATGCAATAGCTCATTCCATCCTTAAAACAACCTTCCAAGATGGGTATTCTAATTTATAGATGAGAAAACTGAGGCATAGAGAGTTTAAGTAACTACCCCAAGATCACATAGTCTACCAGTATAGTCTACTGGTCCAAGACTCCTAGTTGTACGAAACAGGATTGGAATGTAGGCCATGCCACTTGCTGACTGAGGACCATGGAGCATACTCTTGCCAGTTTTGAGGTAAGTTGGAGTCGTATAACCCCGGGCCAGCCATCCACCAGCTGGCAATAGGCAAGTCATTTAATCTCTCCATGCCTCAGTTTCTTTGTATAACACGGACACTAACATTACTCTCAAGGGTACTGTGCTGGTTCAGTGACATCAGAGGGCACAGTTGGTTTTTAACTGGGTATCCTGAGTTACAGGTGCAAGAAGTACACCCAGATTTCAGACAGATGCCTCTTGATTTTATATATAAGGGGCAGCAGTATATACATATCTAGTCTTTGTCCTTAGATCCTGGCAGAGAGCTTTAAAAAATCACTCAGGGATTTCCTGAGTGATGGAGGAGTGTCTTTAGTTAGTCATAATGAGCCCCACTGGACCATATCTGAGTTAAAGCTAATAGGGTGACTTATTGTCAGCTCTCAGAGCCCTGAAATAGCTTCGGGATTGCTGGCTGGTCAGAAAAAACAACCAACTTTCAGCCCAACTCCCCACCCCTGGCTGCGGGAGAGGGGTTGGAGATCACATTCAATCACATGGCCAATGATTGAATTAATCATGCCTATGTAATGAAACCTCAGTAGAAGCTCTGCACAATAAGATTTGGAGAGCTGAGTTACTGAGCATATTGATGTGCCAGGAGGGTGGTACACCCGGCCCCATGGGGACATAAGTTCCTGAGCTCAGGACCCTCCCAGACCTTGCTGCCCAATGCATTTCTTTACCTGTTTATTTGTATCCTTTATAATAAAACAGTAATAATAAACAGGGCTTTCCTGAGTTGTGTGTATCATTCTGGCAGATTATTGGACCTGAAGGGGCATCATGGGTATTCCTTAACCTGTGGGGTCTTCACCAGCTCAGGGTAATTTGTGTCAGAATTGAACTGGGGATGTCCAGTTGGTACCAGAGAACTGGTGCAGGAACATAAAGGGTAAGAAATTTCAATCCCTACTAATCCCTGGAATTTTCTTTTAAATCTATATCTGATAGTTCAGACACCCCAAGTCCTGGAAAGATTGAGAGGTAGTCTCATGTAGCTAGCTGACACTGGAAGGACACCTCTCTGGGGTAACCTTTTGGGGTGGTAGAGATGTTGGCTATTGTGATTGTGGCAATGGTCTCATGAGTATGTATATATGTCAGAGTCATTGAATAGTAATTTTTAGTATATACAGTTTATTGTTTGCCAATTATATCTGATGAAGCTGTAAAGAAACAATAGAAGAAACTACAGGGAGAGAGTTCTGCCTGTAGTTCCACACAGGACACTGATTTCATTACTGGGAAAAGAGTATTTTTGCTTTTTTTTTTTTAGGCCATTACAGGGTTTTATTTTTTGAGTGATGACTTTATAATATTTAAATTTACATTTTATTATGTAGTACTTAATACTACATACATAATATGAAAGGATATGTGGCAACTTATGTGAGTTAGTAAGAGTTATAAATGGAACACCCATCAACCTAACACCCAACCTGAGAAGCAAGCTATTACCAATACCTTTGCAAATTTCTGGGGTCCGCCCTTATCCTACACCACATCCCTTACAGGGACTACCACCTTAAATTAGGTGTTTTTTTTTCCCCCTGATCTAATAGTTTTATCACGTGGGTGTATCACCAGACAATAGATGGTTAGTGTTGCTTTTGAGCTTTATAGAATGCTGTCCTACTGTGTGTAGTTCTGTGCAATTTGGTTTGAGTATTACATCTCTAATGATTCATGTGTTGCTGCATTAGGTGTATTACGTTATTTCCAACCGTCCCAACAGCCCTGAGGGCCCACTTAGGATATGGTCCACTCAGGAAAAATATAACTTAGCAAGCTGGCCCAAGTTAGGGCCATGATACATTCTTCCCCAAACTCAGGAAGCATGATTGAGGGCCTACTGTGCACCACGCAGTGATCAGGTGCTGGACATGCCCCAGTGAACGCAGTCAGTCCTCTCACCCTCCTGAAGCGTTCTGGTTGTTGCCTTAACCCTCACTTACCTAGGTGTATGGGTTACTTATGGGAACATCCCAGGGTGCCCACGCCTCTTTCACTTCAACCACAGAATGGCTGAGAGAGGCTTCTGCTCAGAGAGGGCAGTTTGACAGTAGCTATCAGGGACAAACGCAGCCACCTCTGATCCAGCAATGCCACTTCCAGGAATTTAATCTATAGGACACTTGACTAAATACACAATGGCATTGGCATAAGAATATTTATTGCATAAGAGTATTTATTGCAGTAATGTTTATAATATTGAAGTAATAGATTTCTGTCAATAAGGATATAATATTGAAGTAGTAATTTCTATCAGTAGGGATATAATTACAGTTAATTAACATTTAGTTATGCAAAACCCACATGGAGGAATACCACTAGCTATAAAAACAATGTGGGAGGCACTGATGATGGAAAGCTCTCCAGGAAGGATTTTAAAAGCGTAAGATTCGAACAGTGTGTAGAGTATGTTACCATATGTATAAAAGGGGTGTGTGTGTGTGTGTGGATGGAACATACATACCGAACTATTAAATATGCATAAATACTTCCAGAGGGATTCATAAGTAACTGGAACATGGATGCAAGACTTTTCATTGTAGCTATTTGTATTTTTTAAATTTGGGTACCATGGACAAGGATTACCCATTAAAAAAATACATAAAATCACAATTTTAGTCTCTCAGCAAATATTCCCTGGCTTCTTTGCCTTTCTTTGGCTTGTGGCCAGCCTTTGCTGGCAGCAAATATTTTATCAGAGTCCCTTGATTTTCCCAGACCCACCACTGTGGCGCCTTACATGATACCCACCCCCCTTCAGACTCCAGTGGTACTCAAGGGCTAGAGAAACCTGCCACAAGGTGGCGCTGCCTACTGCCCCGGTAGAAGCAGGTCAGTCCTCCCTGGGCACCTGAGGTCAGGGGTCAGGGGCCTCTGCTGAGTGGGAGCTTAGCTCCCCACTCCAGGCATTCCTTAACCCTACATCTCTGCTAAGAAATCTGGGAAATTGGAAGTTAGAAATTGTACCTGTCACCTCACCATGTGGCCCATCAAGTGCCCTCCAGGCAGGTGCTGACAAACCTTCAGAACTTGGAAGGAACCCCACCTCCCTTGGGTCTCACAGAGAATGCGAACATGAGTGCCCAGCACACCGGAACTGCATCTGCTTTCCTGATTGACTCCCTCATTTCAGCTGAGAAACCCTCCCTGTCACTGGGAGTCAGAGCAGTCAGGGCTCTGTTGGCAGGTGGGCAAGGGGACAATATGACAGCCTTGGGATGGCCTGGGCCTCTGCCAGGGGCACTAGAGACTGGGTTGCCACAGCTCTTCACATAACCTGCCATCTACCCACCACCCAGCCATATGTTTCATTCACTTATCAAATATTTACCAAAGGCCCATTAGGTTCTTATTCAAACACTCGCCTTGAATATCAAAAGGGAGATGATGGGGCCAAACTCCAGACCTGGTTCCTGGGCCTTTGCTCAAGCTCTTCCCCCAGATCCAGGGCCTTCTTGCCCTCTGTAGCCCTGGTCCTGCCTGTGCACCTGACCCGTCCTTCCATGCCAGCTGCCATCCTGCCCCCTTGGTCTCACTTGCCCAAAGGCTCTGCTCAAGAGCAGCCTGGTCCGTCCTGGGACAACCAGGGGCTCCTTGGCCTGAGGTATAGAGTCAGCCACCTAAGAGGAAAAGTGGGAGAATGACAATGCAAAGTACAAAGTCAGCCATGGGCAGACATACAGACCCTCAAGATGCAGGCCCCAGCAGGGAGGAAAGCTCTCCTCATGGGACCCATCCATACCTTGGCAATGACCCTTGCCTGAGCCTAGCATTTGGCACTGAGGAGGCCCCCCTGGGAGTACTTGTTAAATGGACACAGGCTAATCTTCCCAGCGTCTAACCTGATGACGGTGCCCATACTCAGTCCTGGCCAGGCTAGGCAGCCAGTGGGAGGCAGGAAGGCAGCCCCAGGCCTAGCGGGGGATATGGCAGGCTGTTCCATAGGCCAGAGCCTCCCTGAGGCTGGGTGGAGCCTGGCCTCTCCTGGGCCATGGCTGCCTGGTAAGATCCTATATGGGGCAGAGATGCCCTGGATGAGAGGCCACCCATCAGTATGACTCCTTGGGTACAAAAGCCTCACACTGCAAAGCTGAGGGCTGCTCCTGACCAGGGGAGCCCGCGAAGGCACAGGACCCGAGCTGCCTTCTGGAGCTGCTGGCCTCCCCACTGCCTGTGTCTGGCCTCCCCATGAGGATGCTGCCAGAACACAGGCGGCCTACCCTGCTCTGGTACACCCATAGCACCCAGTGCCACTGAAAGATGTGCTGGAGGGAGGGGAGGGGGAGATGAGGCAGGGGGCTCAGGCCCCCTGGACAAAGAGGGATCAGTGGAGTAAAATCAAACCAGCTTTAATACCAATATAGTCTCTCTATTAAATACCATGTTCCCCAGGACAGGGTATAGGGGCCAGGCTCCCGGCAGGAAAAGTGGAAAGGAAATGTGGAACAAAATGGAATGGATGGCCCAGGGCCCACCCCCCCTCTGCCCAGGACCCCTGCCACAGGGCACTAGGGCCTGGGCTGCCTGCAGGGCAGGAGAGGTGACAGCAGCTTCCTCTGGTCCAGTTACAACAGGGCTGTGGGGTGGGCTCCCCTGCCCTCTGCAGCCCTGAAACTTCTCAGGATTATTTCTGCCCTTCAGACCAGCAGAGCAGGGGCCTTGGGCTCCTCTGATCTGGGCGGGGTCCCTCTGCCTAAAAGGGACGGCAGCTAAGGCATGGGGGTAGGGCAGGGGACTACCACTGGCCACCCGGCCCGCTCAGTAACTGCTCTGATGGCCGGTGAGAATGTAGAGGTTGCTGTGAGCCTCCGGGTTGTCGGTTGGAATGCTCTCAAGGATGATGTCTCTGGAGGGGGTAGAGGAGAGAGGACCGGAGGTGAGCAAGGCAGGGAAGCCACTGGGACACATCCAGGGGGCCTTGGGGGCATCTGAGGGGAGGCTGGAGCACTCCATCGTACCTGTGGGCCCCAAGCACTCGGAAGATCCTCGTCTCATCTGTGATCTCCTGGGTCACCTGGGGAAAAAACGGTATTGAGGTCACCCCAGCAGGCCCTCTCCTAACTGGTGAGGACAGCAGGGTTGAGGGCAGCCATATTCCTCAGTTCAACTCACCTCGTTGGTGTCCAGGCTGCGGCCTTGCATTCCATGGCTCCAGAAGGCCAGCACACTGTCCTGCAGACACACTGGGAGGGGACAGGCTGCCGTCAGCCCTGTGCCGGCCCTGAGGATGCTGGTGCCCCACTGCCACACCCCAGGCAACAAGGATGGCTCTCAAGGGCCTGGAGCACCTGTGTCCACATCCCACTGCCGCCCAGGGCCCTGGGCCACATCATGTGCTCTAGGCTGGGGATATTCCTGCCCACCACCGCTGTGAGCCTTACTCACCCACAGTCTCAATAGGGAAGTCAAATGTCAGCACGGGCGCGAGTGTGGCCGTGGGCTCACCCAGCAGGTTGACAAGCCTCACGCAGCCTGTACAGGGAGAGGGCTAGTGGGCGGGAATGGGATGGCTCCCTTTCAAGGAGGCAGACCCATGCGCTTTTCCTCACCCCCTACCCTTCACTGCCCCAGCCCCAGGGACACTCACGGTCAAAGCAGACTAGGACCGTATCCCTGTCCACCTGGGTCACCTGCTGGGCCGAGCCTGGGAGCCCCTCTGCAGGCAGAGAAGGGTGACAAGGCCTGGCGGAGCTACCAGCCCCCTCTGGCCCCAAGAGGAGGACCTGGGGGACATGCAACAGCCGGCCTCTGCTGCAAGTGCATTGCAGTTCAGCCTGTGACAGCCCCAGGGGGATCAGGGTACCTAATCTCGCTGTCCGGCTACAGAACTGAGACTCAAAGTGGCAGAGTGACTCCCCACAGGCTCCTGGGAGCCATGGGAGGGCCGGAGCTCTGCAGGCAGGAAAACCAGGCTTGTGACTCAGTTGCTATGTGACCGCACATCTCAGCCTCAGTTTCTTCATTTGTGATATAGGCATGACAATGCCTACATTGCAGGGCCACTCTAAGGTTCTTACAAATGTTATCCTGTGTGTGAGAGACCCCTGGCTTGGGGTCTGGGGCACAGCAGAGCCTTACCCAGGGTGCCTTCCCTTCTGCTTTACCTGTTTCCGCTCACCCTGCTCCCCTGAGCTGTCCCAGTGCCCAGTGGCCTGCTTCCCTGCTCAGAATGCAGGCCTCTGGTGCTCACCTTGCCCCGTTTGGCTCTATCCTTGCTGCCCCTGCAGTGTTGGTCAGCTTTTTCTTAACTGCTGAGCCCTTTGGTCTAGTGAAATCTTTTACAGAAGCCCAGCTGACAGGAGGCTGGGAGCTCCAGGCCCCCAACCCCCAAGGTCTCTTTGGAGCTGTAAGCTGCTCGAGTGTGTGTGCGCCTGCACATGCACACATGCACACATGCACACACACACAAGGCCTTCCAGCTCACCCAGTGGTATGAGGATGTCCGGAGTCGGACCAGCCTGCAGACGCACGCACACACGAACACGCACACATGCACACACACATACACACACAGCCTTCCAGCTCACCCGGTGGTATGAGGATGTCTGGAGTCAGACCAGCCTCCAGGGGCAGGACATGGAACAGGACTCGGCAGCCCGGCCCCTCAGGGCTCTCAGCCCCCACGCACACCTGGGGCAGCTCCTTCCCGTCCAGCACGAGGGGCTCCAGCATCCCTGCTGGACTGGGCAGGGGACTGGAGAAGCTCTGGGGGCAGCAAGAGTATGTACTTAGGTCTCCATTTCTCCCGCAGGCCCACTGCCACCCGCCTGAGGGTCTCCCTGGCCTCACCGCCCCCACACCTTCAGCAGCAGGAACTTCTGCAGTGGCTCGTACCACTGCAGCAGGAGCAGGCTGGTGGGCAGGGCGGCCAGCAGGAAGCTGCTGCCCGTGTAGGGGTTCCGCACTATGAGAGAGGCAGGCCATGGGCACCGGGCTGTACCTGTGTCCCAACCCCTCCCCGGCCCCACTCAGCTCAGCTCTTACCCACACGACATTGAAGGCATCCTTTGGTGTCAGGAATCTTGGTGGACAGGGCAAAGCGTCTACAGGGGTGACAAGCAGGGTGTGTGTCACAGGTGCCATCTGTGGGTGAGGGCCTGGCAGAGCCTAGGAGGTAAGTACTATCATCTTCCCTGCCTTACAGGTGAGTGACCTCAGTCACTCAGAGAGGCAAAGCAACTTGCCTGAGTAACACAGCTGTGAAGGGCACAAGATCTGAAAAGAATGAGTCTTGTGGCTCAGGCACCCACCTCTACAGACTGCAGCATCTCTGTCAGTCCAAGGCTTTGATAACAGAATTACCTCTAACCGTGCAACTTTGAGCATGTCACTTAACCTCTCCACACCTCAGTTTCCCCATCTGTAGAATGGGGATATCAGTGGCACCCACATCATAGGGTCACTGTGAGGGTCAGATGAATTAATACAGGGGAAGACCTTACAGCTGAGCCCGGCACACTGCATGCCCTGGAGGGCTAGCTTTCATCATCCTAAATAGTTACTTTCCTACCTACTTCCAGCCACTGAAAATCATTTTTAGGTGAGGCAGGGTACGAACAAAGAAATGAGTGCACAGAGGGGTCAGAAGCTAATGCAGGCCGCCCGAGCGCTCAGGCTGGGCCCCACCCCTCATGCCGGGTGTCATGGACGGGCAAGCAGCCCACGGAGATTAAGATGCAAGAAGACAGCAAAGGGCCTGCCTTCTGCTGCTTCACCCCTCAGGGCCAGCAGGCGGCCCACCTTGGTACCTGGGAAGAAGTGGAGGCCTTGCTTGGGTTTTCCCCCAGGAGACCTCCCCAGACTCACGCTTCCTCAGGGGACAGAGCTACATGCCAGCGGCCCTGCTACCTCCTCCCAGCCACCCAGGCCCTGCCTGCACCCTCTGCCGGGATATGGGCCCCACCTAGGAAGCCAGTGCCTGTCTCCCTCTCTGGCCCCTGTCCTCACTTCTCTCTCCCGTTCCTCCCACTCTCTTCTGCACTCAGATGGGACAGAGGCAGATATTTTTGTTTTTGTTTTTCCAGATAATTCTGCAGTGGTCCGTTCTTAGTGCTCATAGTGTACACTGTGACCTTGTGATTTCCCGAACACACACCCAAAGCTGCCTATGACTTGTGGGGGCTCGGACGGGCCTGTTTCCTGCAGGTCCTGGGCCAAAGTAAAGGTTCATTTAGGGCCCAGGGTCAGGAAGGCCCCAGGTGACGGGCCCCAGATGTGGCCCATGAGCAAGCACACTGCAGGAAGGGCCTGGGCCCCCCATCTCCCCAGCTGGTGCAGTCACTGGGCTGGCCCCCCTCCCCATCCCCATGGCTCCCCCTCCTCAGAACTCAGCCTCACCCAGCCAACAGCTGAGGAGGTCCCACTCGCGCATCTGGAATTCAGTGTGACAACACTGATGCTGCTCCACCCACGACTGATGACAGCTCCATCCTTCCTGTGGCCTGGGCCAAAAACCTTGGAGTCATCCTTGACTCCTCCTTCTCCCCCATCCACCAACTGTCAGGAAATCCTCTTGAATTCAACTTTGAAAATATAACCAGAATACAGCTACTTTTCATCTCCCTCACTGCTACCCTGGCCCAAGCTACCATCACCTCCCGCCTGATTACTGCAACAAGCTCCTGACAGGTTCCCCACTTCCACTCTCACCTGCTCAGTCTGTTCTTAACACAGCAGCTAGAGTGATCCCGTGAAAACCTCAGTCCATGTCACCCCTCTGCAGTGGCCCCCAGGATGCTCTGAGTCAAAGCCAAGGGCCTCACGGCTGCATGGCGCTCCCCGATCATCTGTCTCTCCCTCCATCCATCCGACACCAGCGTCCTTGCCAGTTCCTGCCCCAGGGCCTGTGCACTGGCCATCCCGTCTTTTGGGATGCCCTGCCCCAGGATATCAAGTCAACAGGGCTCACTCCAAGTCTTTGCTCAAACAGCACCATCTCAGCAAGGCCCTTCCTGACCACCTGTTTAAAACCACAATTTAGACCCCACCCTTCCTGGCCCTCCCACCTGCTCTTCTTCATCAGCACCTTCCCCTCTCTGCATCGCCACAGAATACACTCCCTATCTATGCAGATTGTCGTCTGTCTCTCTTGAAAAGGAAGTCAGAGCGTATAAGGACCTCTAGCTCACGGGTGTATCCCTGCCCTCAGAACACTGCCTGGCACGTCCTCGGTGCTGAGTGAATATAGTCACTGAACGATGAAGGAACTCAGCCCTGGATATCTCATGAGACATGCAACACAATCTGCCCCTCTGGAGGTCTCGCACCTCCTCCAGCTCCCTCACACTCATTCTGGTCTGTCCCCAAATCCTGTCATCCCCACTTTCTCAATATGGCTCTGTCCAGTTCTCACCATTCTATAGCCTGATCCCCATCACCTTGGGTCACCACACTGGCCTCCTTTCCAGGTAAGCCTCCCCAGACAGTGCATCCTTCTCGCTGGCTCCACAGCCGGCCAGCAGATGTCTTGTCTTCATCTGCCTAGACAAGCCCCGCTCTCGGCCCACGGCTCTTGGAGAAGGTACATGCCCCAGGCCTGGCCCTTGAGCTCCTCATCCCCTGGCTTCAATGACTGGCTCAGGGTGGGCATAATCCCGAACTAGACGAATGAGAACTGACCCCTACGCTTTTGTGGGAATTACTTGGAAATAGGGATTCTAGACCTACACGGTTGGTAGCTAGTGGAACACTGGCCTGGAACTGGCCATCACTGCACAGTAAAGTCAGGAAATGAGTGACAAAAGAAAAACAGCCAAGAGATGCAGGAAGAATCTGGATGCTGCTTAAACCTGGATCCAGCTGGGCCTGAAGCTAAGGCTACTCCTGGACTTGCAGTTACATGAGCCACTAAATTTCCTTTCGGGCTTAAGTCAGTGACTTAAATCCCCTGCAACAGAAAGAATCCTGATTGGCATACAGAAGGATCCTAAAATGTTCATGGTGTCACTGCCAGTTGAACAAAGCTCAAATCCAAGCCCAGCAGGAGACCTGGAGCATGGTAAGTGCTCAGTAAGCCCATGCTCCCACATGCTGTGGCACACATCCCATGCCTGTCTCCTTGCCTCCCCACGGGTCTGGGGCAGAGGGCGGGGAGGCTATCAACTACTGACAGATGAGGAAATGGGCTCAGAGAAGCAGAAGTGACATGTCTAAGATCACAACAGTCCCAGGAACAGGCAGGGCCAAATTCCAACCCTGGCTCTGCCCTCTGCCTCCCCTTTCTCCCCTCTCCTGCACAGGCTCCCACAGGGGCCCCACCTGGGGATAATACGCTGGGTGAGGCGGTTGGTAGGGATGGAGAGGGGAACCTGTTGCTGTAGTCGCCGCTGCTCAAACAGGCCCGGGAGGTCATGGGCCCAGATGTGTGTTGATTTCCCTGCCAGGGAGGGAGAATGGGGCTCAGAGAGTGTTGGGAGGGGGGCAGCGTGCAGGCCTCCCTTCCCTGCCCCAACTCGTACCTGAGAGTGACAGCAGCACATTATTCACACAGTAGAGCCAGGCGCAGCGGTGTGAGATCAGCTGGAGGCCGCAGATGACAGATGGACAGGGTCAGCACCCCAGGCCCCCCAAGAATCTCTCCCCTCCGCAGCCAGCCATGCCTCACCTTCTCCAGTGTATCCTCGTGCAGTTCATGCAGGTTGAGGGTATAGATGCCTTCCTCGGCCCCCACCACAAGGAACTGGTCTGCAGGTTTGGGTAAAGGGTCAGAGGTCAGTCTCTGAGCTGGGAATTCCCAGGTCCCTGCTTCCTCCCTGCGCCCTGGCCTACCCCGGGTGACAGGGTGAATCCAGGTGACCGCAGTGTGGATCCGCAGGGGGCAGCCATTGAAAACCTTGGAGAAGCAGGCACCCATCTGGGGAGGAGGCAAGAGCCTGGTGAGGGACATGGGTAGGGGAGGATGGGCGCGGGGCTACAGGGCAAACACTTACGTGCACCTTGGGGGTCGGGGGGAGCCCGTGGCAGGACGATCTCTGAGAGGGAGGGAAGGAGTCAGAGCCAAGGTCGCGCCCAGCCCCCACCTCCCCAGCTCCTCTGTGGCACCCCTCACCTCAGGATCCTCCTGGTGCTTCATGGTGGCCCAGGCGGTGGGAAGCAGTGGGGGGCTGTCGGCGCCTGGCAGAGGTGGGGGCAGGGTTCCTGCAGGCACAGACCTGCTGTGAATTCCAGCCCCAGCCCTGCCCCACACCTGCCTCCCGGTCCTGGGTCCCCAAAGCCAGGGACTCACCTCTTGGGCTGGATAAAGGGTCCTCAGCAGGAGGCTCAGAGGGGGATGGCCCCAAAAACGGGGCTCGCTTAATGGTTCCTACGGCATCGTCCAGGGAGTCCAGCTCCTGGAGTGAGGATCAGAGAACCCAGCCTGCTCTTATCAGGTCACCCTGCAACCTGGTCCCACCCCAGCTGCACCCTCAGCAGCACGCCCCCCATCACCAGCCCTGGCCTCCCCGCACTGCGCACCTGGAGTTCCAGGGCCGGCCTGATGGTCAGGCTCCTGTTAAGGGCAAATCAGAAGACAAGGAGGTGTGAGGTGGGACTGGCTCCAGGCCCGGCTGCCCCACCCCTCCTCTGCCTGGCCCCTCACCTTTCCTCCAGGGCCTCCTGGACTGACTGCAGCAGGCTCCTGGGCAGGGGGGCCATCAGAGGTCAGCTTTTCCTGCTGCCCCCAAGCCTCTCCCCAGCAGCCCCCTCTCCCTCACTCACCTGCTCAGCTCTTCCTTCCCCAGCAGCGTCCATTCCTCCTCCCACTGTGGGGAAACCAAGGCAGAAAGCCCGGGAGGGAGCATGTGAGAGGGCGATCGAGAGATTGTGGGGAAGAGAGCAGACAGACAGACAGACACGGAGACTCAGAGTGAGATGGTAACAGGAGAACTGTGAGAGCAACAGACGATGAGAGAGAACAGGACAGGGGCACCAAGAGCAGGGGGCAGCGAGTCAGACAACAAACACAAAATGAAGGCAAAAAGGTGCCGGACAGGGTGGGGTGGGGTGAAAAGAGTGGCCCCCCTGCCGCCTTCCACAGGACTGTCTGAAAGAGCCTGCCCCAGGAAGGCATCCGCAGCCTCCCGCGTCCAAGTGGGACAGGCCTCCTTGGGCCGCTTTCCTGGGCGAGAGGGCCAGGCCGCCCCTGCCCCAGAGACCCTTCCTTAAAGATGCTCGACCTCCAGCGTGGCTCCCGGGTCCGCCTGGTGCACCACCCTTCCCACACAGCCAGCCCCTCACCGGTTCATTTAGCGGGTCCGTTTCCTTCCTGCGCAGGGCGCCAAATTTCACCTGGTGAACTGGGGGCCCAGCACACACGGAGTCAGGCAGGGAGGAGAATCGATCCCCACACTCAGAACAAACCTGCCCACGCAGCCCCCACCAAACCCCCATACACAACACCCCACCAAAGCCCACAGCCCCCAACAAACCTTACATACAGCCCCCACCAAACCCCACACATACTCCCCCACCAAATCCCCAACAGTCCCCCAATCAATCAAATCCCCTCACACAGCTTCTACCACCAAATATCCACACACACACAGCGCCCCAACAGCGGACTCACACTGGATCTCCGAGGGGGTCCTCTCGGCCTGGCCTCGTTGACCCCGGGAATGAATGGTGTCTGGAAATGTGTCGTAAGTCTAAGGAAGAACACAGAGAGGGGACACACCCCTGGCACTCGCCTCACACCAGGTACTCCTGTATATGCTCTACACACATCGGCCTGTCCCTTCCACAACAACCCTCTGAGATCATTGCGAGATTAACTGGCACCCTAATTTCGCTCATGAGAAAACCAGTGCAGAGAGGCAAGTAACTAGCCAAAGATCACACACAAAGCAGAAAACGGCCAAGCCAGGGTCACGGTCTGACCGGGCCAAGGGCAGGAGCCTATCAAGGAGGGGTACAAGGAGGCAAGACTGGCTCCGGGAAGAATCCCAATGTGGGTGCTCCCTGTGCTCAAAAGATTCAAGCAAACTGTCGCCCTTGCTATTTGATAAATCACTTTGCACTACTTACACCAGGCCAGACCAAGATCCATTTGCCCTTCTTCTCTCACTTACCTCCAGGTCACAGTCTTCTGGGGACAGGGTTCCCAGATGGGGGTCATTGGCCTTGTCCAACAGCTGTGTGAGGAGAGCCCGAGGGAGCTGCTGGGTTGTGAATGGGTGCTGGAAGACCGAGGGGGGGTGCAGATTAGCCCCTGGCCTCCGGGCCCCTGCTCTCAAGCATCAAGCCCTCGGCCCTGCCCCCTTCCTCCCACCTGCAGAAGCTTCTCTGCTGTTGGCCTCTTCTTGGGGTTCTTGGTCAAGGCCAGCTTGAGGAAGTGGTGGAAATTCTGGGTCCTAGTGGGCACAGGAGGACCCCAGACCCAGGTTAGCCCTCATGCAGGGCATCCTGCCAGCTACCCCCTGCTACCTCTCCAGAGGAGTTTGCTAGGCCCACCCAGGAAGGAGTCAGCCTGAGGCTGAGGGCAGCTGGCCAGAGTAACACTACTGTTGTGACATGGCAGTTCCTCCATCACCAGCCATCTGCCTTTCTTCCCTGTGCACACAGGATGCTAGGCCCAGAGGTGGGGCCCAGGCCCCTCCCACAGAGAGTGTGCAGAGGCCCAGAGAGGTCAGGGCTCTTGACGCTGCACCCTGGGAGCTGGCAGAGGGCCCCTTTGCCCTGTGGACTGGTTGGAAAGGAGGCCCCAGAAGGGTGTGTGGGCCCTCACCAGCGAGTCTTGTCTCTCAGCTTGGGTGGCTGGAAGCTGCTCTTTGACATGAGCATCAGAGCCCTGTGGACAGCGCAAGGTCAGGGGTCAAAGATCAGCTGGGCCCTCAGGGTCAGGCAAGGGGCAAGTGTTCAGCTGACCTCATGGGGTGCAGGTGGAACAGAGGGGGCTGTAACTCGCCCAGCTCGATGGCAGTGATTCCCAGAGCCCAGACGTCACACAGCTCGTTGTAGCCACCTTTGCGCTCCACGGCGGCCACCTCCGGGGCCATCCTAGAAATGGGGCCAAACACAGATGGCATGACCTGTGTCCCACCTTTAGCACCCACCCCCTGACCCCAAGGCACAGCCTCACCAGTATGGAGTCCCAATGAAAGACCTCCTCTTAGCTACAGATGCCGTCAGCTCGCCTGATACCCCAAAGTCAGCTGCAGAGACACAGAGCTGCTCTCAGTCCTACTCTGGCTAGTTGTCACCACCCCCTCAGGCTCAGGATGCATCTGGCAGAGTATGATGAACAGGCAGCCCAGGTTCAGCCACAACTGCCAAAGGTCCAAGCCAAGGCTAGGTCCCCCTCCTGGGAGGGGTCAACCTCTGTCTATCCCTGGCCAATGCCTAGTCTCAGGTGAGACCCCATACAGACCCCACCACATCCAACTTCTAGCAGGAAGCCAGGACTGTTGCACTTTCTCAGTGGGGAAACTGAAGCTTAGGCGGTAAAGTGACTTGTTCAAAGGCACCCAGCACTTGAATGCAGATTCTAAGACTCTAGGAGCTCCCACAGAACCCTCACCCTGATTGTGTCCCCAGGTACTGACCCAGCTTGACATCTCCCTGGAGGGTGAGGAGAAGGTTGGCTCCCTGTGGGAATGGAGGAGAGAGAATCCTGTCTGGTGCCCGAGAGCCGCCCCCTCCCTCCCACAATGCCCTTGGCCAGACCCCTACCTTGATGTCTCTGTGGATCTTCCCCTGAGAATGCAAATGGTGCAGACCCTGGGGACAAAGAGGAGCCCCTGAGGGCAGCTACCCAGCACTATCCCACCTCTCAGGACAGGGGCCCCCCACCCAAGCAGCTTCCTCCTCCCCTCTCCCCAAACAGGAAGTGACTGAGCCAAGAGGGAAATGTGCTGCTTCCGGCAACAGGGTTGGGGCCCCTTCCCCCCAGGATCCACAGCCCCTCAGGCCAGCCCTGCCTAAGGTGCTCAGCTCCACACACACACTGGCCCTGCTAGGCTACTGCCCACAGCTCCTGGGGACTGAGTTTGAGCAGCCTTCTGGGCTCAACTACCTTCAATGCCTCTCGGCACACATAGGCAATCTGCCGTTCCTCCAGGGGCCCGGTGGCTGAAATGAAAGGGATAAGGGCTGGCATGGAGGTCTGGGGGATATGCTGACCCTCCCAGGCCACCCTGTGTGGGGGACGCAGCAGGCACTGCTAGGTGACAGGGGTGTTGGCCACATCCTCTCCCTGCACAATCTGGGGTACAGAGCCCAGAGAAGGACAGCATTTCTCTCAAGGTCACACAGCCAGTGAGGGGCCGAGAGGAGCCCAAGTCCAGGGACCCGGGTCTCCCCTGCCGCGCAATGTTGGAGTGTGGGGGTAGGGGGAAGTTCGGGGTGAAAGGAAGTGGGGGGAAGAAGACTCTGGTCCTCTGGGGCCTGGCTGCCGGGCCCTCACCATGGTAAATCTCCTGCAGGGACCCCCCTCCACAGAACTCCATGCAGATCCACAAGCGGTCATTCCTGGGGGAACACAGAGCTGGGGTGGGCACAGGGGAGGGCCACGAGGGGGTGGGCCTGGGAGTAGGCAAGGGTATAAAGCAGCCTCACCTGAGGTAGCTGCCAATGTAGGCCACCACATTGGGGTGGTGGCACTCACGCAGGATGGTGATTTCCTGCTGGAGTGAGCTGATGTCATCCCCTGGGGAGCACAGGGCATCATGGGGGACCTCAGAGGGGTCACCCTAACTCAGTGCCCCCATCTGCAAAATGGGCAGAGTGTGCCTCCTGCCCCCAGGGCAGACGTGTGCCAAGCAACAGCACCTCCTGGGGCCTCCTTCTCAGGGGGTCTCAGAAAGCACCTCTCCGCCCCTCACACCGTGCCCGCTCCAGCGTCTGCCCTCCTCCAGCACACAGGCCCTGGCACCGGGCCCTCACCTGGGTCTAGCTTGACTATCTTGACCGCGGCCAGTTCGGACGTTACTGTGTCGCGGGCCTGCAGGGGCGGAGGGGGTGAAGCGGGATGAGGGGGCGGGGCTGGGGGCTGGATGCCACGGCAGGGCACTGGCGGGCACCCTCCTCGCCGCTCTCCCACCCGGCCCGCCGCCCGGCGCACCTTGTAGACGTCGCCATAGGTCCCGGCCCCCACGCGCTGCAGCAGCTCGAAGCGGTCTCGTGGGTCCTGCAGCGACACATCCCGCAGCAGCGCCATGGCCCGGCGCCGGGCGGGCCGGCGGGCGGGCGCGCGCGAGCTGCGGAGCAGCCGAGCCGGCGCGGGGCGGCGCGGGGCGGGGTAGGGCGGGGCGGGAGCGGGTGGCTTCGAGGCCGCGGAGGCGGGGCCCGGGCCCGGGGCGGGGCGGGGCCAGGCCGGGGATGCCCGCCGCCCAGCCGGGAGGAGGCGCCCGCGGGACAGGCCCTCGGAGGCCAGGGGAAGCCCCGAGGAGAGCTGACGGTGCCAAGACCCTTCCGCCAGCCACCCATTCCCAGCGCTCTACAGGTGGGGAGCCTGGAGGCCAGAAAGCAGAGGGGGCGCTCCACCTCCCCTGCCCGCTCCAACCCCAATTTCCCAGATTAAACACGGACGTGTACTTTTTTTTTTTTTTTTTACAAAATGTATTCATCTTCCTTGGAACTGAAAAATAAATCTATGTACAAAACAGGAGATCAGGCTCCCCTCAACCACTCGCAACTCCCTGTAGGTTTTCTCCGGGGGCCCCCCGAGACGGGCAGGATTTCGGGGAGGTTCCCAGAGGGTCAGCAGAGATGTCTGCTCTGACCTGCTCTACTCTGGGGCCAGTCTGGTCAGGAAGGGAGTGGGGCTCAGGAGTCGCACAGGCCGGGGAAGGAGTTTCGTGTCCCGGACTCTTTGGAGACAGGGAGGGGAGGAAGCTAGCAGGATTTCCAAATTCTGGAAGCATTTCTTAAATTCTTTGGGTAGGGGACTTGGATTCCCAAGGGATGGAATTCTTAAGCGCAGAAATGTACTCCTAGGGGCTGAGCGGGATCCTACGTAGGTTCTCCGGCTGCAGGCCGGACCTGTGCTTCTTAGGTTTAGGATAAAACTCCAGCCCCACAGGTTGAGAGCAACCCTGGCAACACTGGTCAGGCCTCAGGTTAGAGCCTCGGTTCTGAGGTGCAGGCCTGATCCCAGTGGTTGGACCTTTAAAGATTGGTGATGGCTGGGGTGAGGTTTCAATAGGTCGGCTGGGATTCTGGGGGTGGCATCTACATTCCAGTGATCAGGCAGAGGCTCAGTTTGGGCACTGGGGTAGTCTGTGCTCTGGGAACCTGCAGCCTCAGTTTTGGGTAGGGGTTGGGCCTGTAGGTGGGCCCAAGTCCAGGTGGCCAGGGGCGGAACCTGGGCTCACCTCCATCCAGATTGAGAGCGGGCTGCCCCAGGGCTGACAGCGAGTCCCCAATAGTTCAGAGACCCTTGCGCTGCCGCTTGAGGAAGGAAAGAGTGTAGTCGCTAGGTGTAGACACCTTCTGCTTCTTCATCTGCACTTGGGATTGCGCTGTGAGTTGCAGTTTGATGGCGCTGGAGTTGATCTTGGTGGCCACCAGCAGCTCCTTCATGCCCTTCATCTTCTCACTCTGGAAAGTGAGCACCGGACCCTCCGGCGGTGGTGATGCAGGCGCTGGTGCCGCACTGCCTCCATCAGGGCCCCGGGCACTGCCTGGGGCCGTCCCTGAGGGTTTCCGGGGGGGTCCTGGAATGGCACCCTGGCCCACGCCTGGGCCCTTGTCCAATGCTGGTTTCTTAGGCGGCGGTGGCTCCTCAGGCTTGGACTCCCGCCGAGGGCCCCGCCGCCGGCCTTCCCGGGCTTCCTCTCCCCATGGCTCCTCCGCCTCTGCAGCCTCTGCCTCTCGGCTTACTATGCGCACCTTCTGCCGCACCTGGGCCGGGTGGGAGGGCAAGCTGAGGAAAAGGTTGCAGGCCAGTGGCTGGAACCCCAGGACTCAGCTTCAGTCATGTCTCACTGCACCCAAAGGGGAGGAGCAGATCCCCTTCAGGTCAGAACCACAAGGGTTCTGACTCCTCTGTAGCTGTCACCACCTGCCTCCCCCAGCCACCCTGCATAGCTACTCCTCACCTGTCCCTCAAAGCGGCCCAGGGACTGCACAAGGAAGGTGGCCCAGCCCACGTGCAGCACAGGAGTAGGGCTGCCCTCCTCCCACTTGCAGATACCGTCATAGAATCGTAACAGATGGGCGAAGCACTCTGGGTCCTGGAGGGCGGAGCCTTGGCTCTGGGCACCCTGGGCAAGGGGGAAAGGAGGACACAGTTCAGACTCCCTGACTCACCCAGGACAAAGAGCCCTGGCCTCGGACGAAGTGAGCACAGGCGAGCACATGTGGAGAGAACTCTTACAGCCTTCCTCCTTGTATAAAACCAGTCCTTAGCCAGGATGTAGGGGGAGGGGGAAACCATCCCTTGCCTCTATCCCATCCCCTCAAGCAAATAAGGGGCCCTTACCATGAAACAGAAGGACTTCTACCCCATTTACCTGAAGGCATAGGGTAGAAACCCTAAAATACCCTCAACTCCCTCAAACCCAGGCCCAGGACCTCAGCTACTGCATAAGAGAGCAGCTCTCTCCACACTGGGCCACCTTCCTATGTCCTATGTCCCCAGCCCTACGCAGTGGTCCCCAGGCCCTGTGACTGGGAGCCCTGCTCAGGTGGGAAGGTGGACACAGTCTGGAGCCCCCTCACCTGGCTCTGTTCCCCTGGCCGCTCCTCGCCAGCCTCCAGCAGGCTGGCTGCCTCCTTCAGCAAGTTGGGGATGACGTCATTGGCTACCTCAAAGAACTCCTTGTAGATCTCCTCGTCTTCACGGCAGTAGTTGTAGCTGTGAGAGCAACAGGGCACTGTAGGGTCTTAGCTATGGTGGGTAGTACCCCCAGGGACCTAGTGGGGGATGCAGCCCAGGTTTCTTTTCCTGACTCATCCAGGCCCCAGGTGAGTGATTGGGGTCCTCATTCCAAAACGAAGGTGTTTACGCCAGTGCAGAGCAGGAATGAAGAGGGGAGCGTGAACTGGCAGTGAAGGTTCCACTGCTGAATGATGGTGGTAGGAAACTGGGAGGAGAGGAGTGGGAGGGAAAGGCAAGGCCCTCGTCAGGGGGACCCCCTCCTGATGACAGGCTTGACCACCTAGAGACTGTGTGGAGAGGGGACGGGGCTTGGGACCAGGCCTCACTCTTAGATGAAGGTGGTTGGAAATTGGGTAGAAGGGGAAGAAAGGCCAGGCTAGGCCCTAGTGGGGGAATCCTCACTCCTGGATGACAGTGGCTGTGTCAGCCCAGGCCTGCAGAGCTTCGCGCACATTGCGGTTGCGACAGTGGTAGCCAGCCAGGTACATGTAGGGGTAAATGTGCTCATCCCGGTAATAGGTCTTGGCTGAGGCAATGCCCTGAAGATAAAGCAGGGGGCCTTAGGGAGGCATCCCCCAGGTGGCCTGTATGGCACAAATGTTCCATCAGATCACACCCAGAAGGGGCAATGGGAAGACCCCAGAGTCCCATCTCCAATCCCACTTCCACCCCTGCCATCCTCCCTACCAGGTGCTCCTCCCCAGGTCTGCAGGACTGCTTGCTGAAGTCTAGGTCAGACTTCAGGGGGCAGGGACCCCCCCAAAGAACAAAGCCTAGAGAAGGGAAGGGGCCTGTCCTCCAAGCTCAGGGCACGTCCCTTTCCCAGGTTTCGTCACACACTCCCACACATGTATCAAAGCTTCCCAAGCACAACCCCCACCAAGTTACTATCCCCCCCTCCAGTGCTCCTACCACACCACACACACACACACCACATTTGCCCTTGGTTACAATTCCAGGAAGGACAATGAGAGGCCACAGAAAAGCAGGGCTGAGGAGACAAACCAGGCTCTCCACTCCCAGGCTGGGGGACCCAGGACATACCGCAGACAGCCCTGACTGCACTGAATATGGACATGGTAAACATAAAGTGGGGACTGGATGAGTGATGCCTCCCAATTTACACAAAGCTCTTCTGTCCTCACCCACCCACCCCCAGCCCCCAGATAGAAGGAGACCCCAGCCACTGTTGGGCCTCCCTTGTGTACCCACCTTGTGGTAGAGGGTCAGTGGGTCTGGCCGGCCAGGGGTGGGCTCCAGCTCCTCCAGATCTGCCAGGTTCCCCAGCGCCATGGGGTACCTGGGAAAGGGTCATGAGATCAGACTGCCAACCAGCCCCGAGGCCCCGCCTGGCCACACCCCTCTACTGACCTTTCCAGATGTCCCAGGTCATAGAGCAGCCAGAGCAGTTTCTAGGAGCCCAAGGAGAGAGGTGTGAGCTGGGGGCAGGCGAGAGGGGCCCTCAGACTACCAGGTGGAGGTGGGGTCCAGCATGAGCAGGGGCCTGCCCCAAGTGTGAAGGGCCAGAATTCAGGAACCAGCTCCTTATTGGAGTCAAAGCCCTTTTACATCTCAATTCCATTCTCCCAAGAACACTGGGAAAGGCCAGGCCAGGAATCATTAACCCATGTTCCAGAAGGGGAAGTTGAAGCTCAGGAAGGGCAGGTGTCCCAGCCAGGGTCCCACAGGTACCCTCACCTGCTGCAACTGCAGCAGCTCCAGGGAGTCAGTGTGCAGGTCAATGGAGGGGTTGATGGCACACACCATAAATGCTACCTCCATCTTACGATCACAGCGCATGTATGATCCTTTCAGGTACAGCCAGCTCTTAAGAGAGGACAAGACCAGATGGCTCATGAAGGCCCATGAGCCTGCTCTGGGTATGACAACCAGGGAAGGGGCCCCCAACTTCCTGACATATGGAGGTGGGGAAAGGAAGAGGGGAGTGGCGCCCAAGAAAGCAGAACCCTTGGGTGGCTTGGGCTAGGAGAATGTGAGGGGACACAATACCCGCTCAGCCACACCCGCATTGACCGTCTGGCCCCTGCGATCCTCGTTGCCCTTGCCATGCCAAGTGACCTCAGCTGTTTGCTCTCCATTGGGTCCGAACACGACCCAGGCATGATCCTCAGACAGGGCCAGGTGGACATCCCGGAGACCCAGAGCCTGGCAGGCCCCCACCACGGCAAAGGCCACACCAGAGCTGTCCAGTTTGGTGCCTGTGGAAGGGGAGGTAATGAAAATGCATCCTTTGAGCTCTGGCCTGGGGGACGGGGCCAGGCTCCCTCCCACTCTCCCCTGCAGGCTTGTGCCCAAACCTCTGACGCCCCTGCGCATCACCCTTCTATCCCTTTCCTCCTATATCTTCAAAGCCTTTCCCTCCTCGGCACATCC